TAATTATAAGTCAGTGCCGAAGATTACAGATGTTACAAGAGAGTAACAAGCACAAAAGAGAAGTAAGGGAGATGATGGTGATAAATGTTTGATAGGGAAGAAGGAGCAGACCACACCAGAGCACCCGCCAACCACCTACACAGACAATTAATCGTTAAAGTAATTATCAGGAGACCATTGAAACGAAAGCAGCCGTTTGGTTCCTAGGAAAAAAAAGAAAAGATAAACAGGGGGAAAAACAAACGAAAAGGAAAGAAAAAGAAGTAGCGCCGACCATCGGCACCCCCGAAACTACCCACTCAGCAAACAAACACCCGTATTTATCAATAAACCATTGCAGTGCAGTTAAAATTGTCCCAGACGGCCACACAGTGTCGAAGAGAAAAGTGGTCGTCTTAGAAGGGTAATTTTTTAGACAGGTAATTTCTTGGACAGTATCATTACCTGTATAATATAGATTTTAAAAAACACACGAGGAGTGGCTGTTTGTATTAATTTTTTAAATTGTCCTTTAGACAGTTGATTATTCGACCAGGTTCGATTGTAATAGTAAATGGCTTGCAACTCTATGCCCCCCTCCCCCCATTTTCCCCCACTATCTTTCCGCCCCCACCCCTCTCTCTACCGCTCTCCCCATCTTCATATGGAAGAGGGACAGAGAGAAACAAAGCGACAGAGAGAGAGAGAGAGAGAGAGAGAGAGAGAGAGAGAGAGAGAGAGAGAGAAAGAAAGAAAGAAAGAAAGAGAGAAAGAAGGTAATTTTCTTGTGAAAGGAGCGAGAGATCGGTGTCTTTGAAAAGATTGATGATATCACGCCCTTATCAACTTGGTTGTGACAGTATCAAAGGCATAAGCCACGTAAGGCGTTCTTCAAGGGGCACAAAAGTGCAGGCATACGGTGCACTTAGAGAAGATTCCACAATCTCGTGCTTTTCAGATGAACTGAGAAATAAGTAAAGTCGAAATGGCCCAAGACGGTGACCCATTATCGAGGACAAATATGGGATGTCTTAAACAGGTGGGCGTTTTGGATCGAGTCATTATAATATAAAGCAACACCGGAAAAAAAGAGGAGGTGAGATCAAAAATGGTCGTCTGTACAGGTGGAAAAGTATTGTGAAGTAAACGGCTTGAAAAAATATGATAATGAGAAAGAGAAAGAAAGAGAACGAGAGACAGTGGGGTG